TGTTGAATTTGTGAAATGGAAAATTTTGGTTGTTTTAAAAGAAAGCATTGTTTATTTTTAATTAAAAATTTTTTTATAGGTCGCCTAGTCATGGATGAGTTGTTAGGAGTACTTTTTAGAACTAAACAACCAGAGGGAACTATAGGCATTGTGGTAGGCCCCTCTGTTAGTAGTTTTGAACGTAGAGCCTTTGAGGTGGCAATAAAAGTTAAAATATCTATGTATCCCATCATTATAGCTAGTAAGACAAATTTTGCTTTGCATATCCTTAATATAGTTCTTGACCGACTTCATAAAGATCTTTTCAACTTTTTCAACTTATCTTAAATTTCGTCATGTTCATCTACTTATCATTATGATGGATTCACAGATATTTTATAAAAATATAAATGATTTGGCTTTATTTTTTTTGTTCCTATTCTTTAGTCTCCTAAAGCAAACCGTTTCTGTATATTAATTTTATTTTTATGTCAATAAAGCATGCCTTGGTGGCTCTATTTCATATACATAAATATGTTTACTTTTGTATATAAATTTTGGGATTTATTATATTAATAAAGATAACTCTGGTAGCAGATTTTGTATACATAATCATATGTGTATTTTTTAGGATTATTCCAATATTTTCATATATATATGATCAAGAATTTTTATCTAATTTTTGGAAAAGTGAATTCTTTGTGAACCGAGTTCACGAGGTGATCAATAATTTTTTTAAGTACTTATGTAATTTTTATTAAGCTTTTGAATATTTTTCTATCTTATATAAATACAATGGCAAATATACAATCTAAAATTAATTTATTAGAAGAACAGAATTCTAAGCTCGTAATTTAGAAAAAAATATACTGATGTTGAGGCTGAGAACGTGAAGCTAAGACATATCGTAGAAGAGAGTACTGGGCTTAAAACCAGGTTTGAAAAGCTAGAAAGGAAAATAAAACAGAGGACCCGATTTACTAACTCTTTCTGACGATCACTTGTACCAAAATCTTGCTAAAACAAAACTTAAATTTTCTTAAAA